TCTAATATAGCAATAATTATGGTAGATTCTTTTTATACATATCCTCATTGAATGATATATTGTTATTATAAGATTTCAATGTAAAAACAATATTGCATTATGAATTTTTTTATCGAATTCATGGTATTAATTAATTCTGTGGATAACAAGTTTCATCAACTACTCTACCTTTTCTTGTTATGCTTTCATTTTTTATCTTCCTTTTCTGTATGTAGACTATAAGTAAATAAGTAGAAGCATATAAATGTAACCATTAAGGAGAATGTACTAGTAAATCAAGAAAACTGGATGAAACCCGCATCACTGGTGTATGAAGACCCATTATTTGTTGTGTCGTTGATGATTGTCACTCTCACTTGCAATTTACTGAGAAGGATTGAGATATTCATGACGTAAACCTTCCTCGGATGCCAATCACGCCTTAGAATTATTGATGAAGACCCATTATTTTTCTTTGGAAAACGTGAAGACCCATTATTTAGGATTTGAGGTTTAAGACATCCTTAGGATGAAGAGAATTTTTGTGGTTAAACCGTTAAAGAAAATGTTGAGGTGTTCGAAAATTTCACTATCAAAATCTTGTCTTTATGGTGAGTGAATGAATAAATACTTGCAGATCGGAATGAGTTGAAGATTGAATTTTATCTTTATCATCATGGAGCCAACTCACTGAAGAGTCTAGACCCAATAAATTTCTTTTCTTACAAGTCAAATGAGTCTCTTTCACCTCTGTTGTGGTTATATGAATTTGGATTTACTTCATTTCTTCAAATATGAAATTCTTCAGTTTTCATTTGTATGCTGATTTTTGCTGCAATACCTATTGCATGTTAATTGCTGACTTAATATCTTCCTTTAGGTCCATATCAGCAAAACATTTTAGTGAGTTAATTATTCATTCAACTCAAGATTTCTGCTTTTGGCCTTAAATTTTTCTGACGGACAAAAACTCCCTGTTCCTATTAGAAACATTAAGTGTTGTTTGCCATGATATTTATGCTATCAGCATGTATTATGCACATATTATTTATAATTTAAGTATATGTTCCTGTATTTCTCCTTATAATAATTTTCAGATGTATTTGATTTTTACAAGAAACCTGATGTTTCATTTATGTTGTTGCTTGATTTTGGAGATTGGTGAAGAAAAACATGAGAGTTGACAATGTGATCAGCGAATGCTGTGGGAACCCATTTACTGAGCTGTAATGATGGGGTGCATGTGGGGAAGTCCCAGAACCCAGATACCCTCCTTCTCTCTCTATCTCTCTTGCAAGTAGAACTATCTGTATCTAATAAAGTGAGACTATAGGATGTTAATGGACAAAATTCTTTTAGCAACTTGCTTGTGCTATCTTCTGCTCTGATTCTCTGACTGGAATTGCTTGCCTGCCAACATCTCATATGTTCTATGCCTGCTCCCACTAGTTTCAAAATGGCACATCCTAAGAAAAGGTGCCTTCTGATCCTTCTCTATTTATTATCCTGTTTTAACACTTTATCCAATATTTACACATTTGTTCTCTCACCATTCACCTTTGCCCTACATATGTAATTAACTTATTTTTAAAGCACCCCTGATGAGCAAACGTAAGATGTTGTGTTGCATATACTCTCTGTGAATATTAAGGTTTAAGTAGTTTATAAATGAGCTGAACAATTTGGGAACTGGTTTTGGATAGATCAGGAGAGTTTTCCCATGTTGTCTAACACAAGATCTTACAAACCAATGACAACTATATACCACTCATGTTAATTCTATTGAGGTGAGATGGTGAAAAGTTAGGACTCCATCCATCAGGATCAATCAGAGATTTAGGTCTGCTGTTTAGCACCATCTATCTTCTACAAACAAAAAAAGAGAAAAAGAAAAGAAAAAAACGAAAAGGGGAAAAGAATCTGTGGTAGAAAGTGAAAACAGGAATAGTGGTTATGATTAAAACTATGATTAATGGAAAACTTTTAGAAAGAGATATAGTGCTGTTAAAGATGCTTGCTTTGACTGCAATTCTACTGAAACTCTACAGTGCGCATGGAATAGTATGAGAAACCAAAAGGAGGTCAGAGCTTTCCCCACTAAAATGAGAAAAAAAGGAGGTCAGAGCTTTCCCCACTAAAATGAGAAAAATATACTTAAAACAAATAAAAATATATTATATTAGTTAGGATTCAAAATGCTTCTCTGTTATCGCATGCTCCCCATCTGCTGAAATATACCCTTATCACAGTCCCACCAAACTGACCAAAAAGCCTTATCTTTTATTCTTTTTCAAATCCATCACAGCTCCTACCAGCTGATGAAATCATATTTTATTTCAGCTTCCTTTTTCAAAGATTTAACCACTTTAATTGTACTAATAAAAGTATTTGTTCTCTTAGAAAATTGAACCATTTGTCCTTCATATCTATATATGCTTGTGTTTTAAACATAAAACTGTGTCAATACTGTTTCTCCATGGAGGTTCAAGGTATAAAAATCTTCTTTCTTTACCTCTCTATAAACGCAACTCTGATCTTTGATTCCTTGTTATGCTTTTTCTGGAGTGTCAACCTATCCTGAATGAGTTTTTGGGTAGTTATTTAAGTTTCTTTTGGATTGCCACTGTTTCACTGGAAGACAAACCTCAGTTGCCAAAACTGACTTTAGCAATGGTTATTTTTGTTCTTACCACAGCTTTCATGATCTATAATTAAAGAGGATGGTTATATTACCAGTACCAGATTGCATAGAAGGTGATATCTATCATGAGGTTTGAACAAACTTTTATTTCTGTTGAAGAGTTGCAGCAAGTGTTCTTCAGCCTGTTGGCATCAATTCCAAGCTTACCAGCAGAGCGGCAGCTGGATCTGGGGAATTGGTATGTCCTTTAACTCATTTCTGTTCATAATTATATCTTTGTTTTCGATCACCTTTACTTTGCTCATAATGCAAAACAGTACCCTCGCTTTCAGCATGCTTTCCTTTTTTATTTTTTTGGGTTCATGAACTCATTTCCTTGGATTTGTTGGTGGAACCATTTCATCTTACAATATATTCTCTCACCAGATATCTTTTGATCGAAAATTTTCATCAATGGAAAGCTTGGGATGGGATGACTCACAAGTTGCTACTGGTTCATTCCCTGTGTGGAGCAGTGAGGGAAATGATATTGAGGAGAGCTTCATAATGTCTAACTCAAGTTGCAAGATGGATCCCCCACAAGATATCTTCAATCCCATTGAAGAGCCTCAAAAGGGTCAGTCATCTGATGTTAATTCAAATTCAGTTAACTTGAATTCATTTCCGCACCAAGACGCTGTAAGGTTAGCAGCAGATTTAACGCTCATGAAATCTACCAACTGGGGAGATGCTTTAAGACAGGAATATTGTTCTTCCCCTTGTGGTACAACCCCGTTGAATGCTTCAATCTCTGATTTTGGCGTGGCTGTTCAATCACAAGTCATCAGTAGCAGCTTGCAGAAAGGGATCACAAGTGGTTCAGCTACAGGATCTCTGGAGTCCCTTGATTGCCTGCTTTCTGCTACTAACAGCAATAATGATACATCAGTTGAAGATGATGGGATTTCCATGATTTTCTCAGATTGTAGAAATTTTTGGAATTTTGCCCCCAATGGTGCAGTTTCATCAGGGGAGTCTGAGAACAATGGCTCAAATGCAAGAAGCACCGATTTCAGATGTCCTGTAAATGAGCTTGATGAAACAGTATCCCAGAGTTCTTGTGATCAGTATGTGAAACCTGGTTCTTCAAAGAGGAGAAATGATCAAAGTGAGCTGAAAGTTGTCATGAATGCTGGTTACTTCAATCTTCTTCAAACTGATTCTTCTGTCACAGAAGGTGGTTTCAGGGTGATTCCAGTGAATCCACCAAAAGCGAAGAAACCCAGATTAGAAAAGCGCCCAAGCTCATCAAACATCAACTTCCAGCAGCCAAGTTCATCGGTGTCCTCATCCATTGAGGAACCTGATCCAGAGGCTATTGCACAGATGAAGGAGATGATATACCGAGCAGCAGCTTTTAGGCCTGTTAACTTAGGCTTGGAAGTGGTGGAGAAGCCAAAGAGGAAGAATGTGAGGATATCAACTGATCCTCAGACTGTTGCTGCTAGGCAAAGGAGGGAGAGGATAAGTGAGAGAATTAGGGTTTTGCAGAGGCTGATTCCTGGTGGGAGCAAGATGGACACTGCATCAATGCTTGATGAGGCAGCAAACTATCTCAAGTTTCTCAGGTGCCAAGTTAAGGCACTAGAAAGCCTAGGCCCCAAACTTGACCCTGTGAATTGTCCCCCAACAAACCTTGCTTTTGCTTCATTACCATTCAACCACTCTCTCCCCATGCAAGCCCATTTTCCAGTCTTTAACCCTAATCACACCACCATCCGCAGAGTTGAAAAAACCGATCCAAATTTTCAAAAAAAAAACACCCCTAGCTAACCATGGATCCTTAGTCATCATCATTAATGATTAACATGCTGAACCATTTTCTAATCTCCCAAGCAGGAACTATTTTTAAAAGGCTAAGTCCAAAATCCTTATCATAATCTTCATCATTACATCTTCTCTAATCCCTAATGATAGATTTCCTAATTATCATCATCATCATGACACCAACCATCCAAGAGCAGAAGAAAAAGTCTCAGGAACTTCTACTTCCACCTTTTGTTTTTTTGCTCCTTCCACTACCAACAATCTAATTAGCAAAATCAAGGTATGAAGTTAGTTATAACGGAATTGAATAGCAAAAAGAAAGGTGGAAATAGCTTAGGCATTGAAAAATTTGGTGACACCCTTTTCTGAGTGAAAAGGTTTAGCAATTATGGCACCTATGATTAAGATCAATGGCTAGAAAGTGATTATCACTTTAGCTTTGTTTTAATCATTTTTTTTAGTGGTGTTCTGTGTACTTTATTTTAAAAGCTTACTTTTCTTGGAGGTCTTCATGTTTTTTTAATTGTACTTTGTTAGCTAACCAATGCAAGAGACATTCTCTTAAAGATTTGTGAGTCCTATGGGGAGTGGTCCTGTCTCCTTGATTCTACCCAAAGCGTGCTCTTGAAAATCACTCCCATGCTCATCGCTTAGCACATGTTTATGCTTCTTTTTTGTCAGGTGGGGTTTTGTTTTATACTCACACGTTGAACTTCTAAAACCCCTATATTAATCCCTAAACTAATCATGTATGCATGATGATATTGATGAAGCCTGAGGGTTTGTCTTTTTCATTGTTTTGATATACATGAAAACATAATTGAGTTTTGCCATGGCGGTTCGGGGTTTTGTCCTGTAAGGGAGAAGAAGATTGAGGGCATTTTCTAAATTTAGACATTCTGTTGGGAAAGCAAAACGGATTTTCCGGTAGGGTTTTTGTTCTTATCATTATTCCTCAATTCAAGTTGGCTATACTTTTTTGATTGTTACATCAGAAAATAACCAATTTTGCGTGTGGGCATATGAAATTTTATTCTTGTAAGCTCCACTTGGGGACATTGACTTGTTATGGAGGTTGGAATTCTTGTGTCTTGTTTGTGGGCTGTTACTTTCCTAATTGGTGGCTCAGTTGATCTCTTTTTATGTCATCTTCCTAACTATACAAATTAGAAAGAAAATAATATAGGATGGCCTGTTGCAATTTGGTACAACCTGCTGAATTTATGCAGATGTTATGAATTACTGACTTTATACCATGGTTTCAACATTTAGGCCGAAAATGTGGACTAGCTTAGTAAATATGTCGTACAAGGCAGATGATCTTCTAAAAAATTTTGAATGAATTGGTGTGTTTAAACTATAGCTTCCTAGCCAAACATTTTTGTTAGAATAAAATTCTCACAAATCTCATAAAATTTGTACTAACGGTCAGATTATTCAGAAAAGTTTTGTACCGTTCACTTAGTTTTTTAACTAAAAAAAATAAAACATTATTAGTTTGGGGGGAGAAAAAGATAAAAATGCCTGTAATAAATTAGTAATGCACAAAATTTTCATTTGTAGAGTTTTGTGTTTTCTAACTTTAATTACCCTGACATTTTTAGGCGCATAATAGAATGAAGAACAACATTCTTAATATATATATATATATATATATATATTTATCTTAATTGTACAATAAAAAATAATTATTGTTTATTTTTTATCCCATCTCAGCCAAATATCATAGACTCGATTTTAAAATCTCTCATTTTCAAAAAAAAAAATTATCACTAAATTACTTAAGTTATTATTACTATTCTCGACATTCTCGAGCACCCTAGAAATTGAAAACTTGTCAACAGTGCAAGCAGCAAATAAACAATACTCATCCATCCATCAGGTTAACCTCGAAAAGGTTGGGCCAGCATTTCCAGACTCGTGATTTGAGTTTAATTTTTTGAAGTGCGGTCCCATTGGGCTGAATTCCTTCTTTGGCAGGCCCAAGCTCCAAGTCCCAAACAAAGCCGAAAGGAAAAATGAGGAGTACAGACGCCAGAAAGAGCAACAACATCTATAAATGCAGTAACATTTTTCAGCCAACAAGACTCCACCTGAACCACCTCTAAAAATGATCAGGAGATCATTTGGAACAACCAACCGGGAATGAAATGTTAGTTATTTTGAAAACTTCCAAAGTCAAATACAACTTCGTTTTTTCATTTTAACTTCTCTAAAACACAAAAGGTGAGGATTAAAACAAATCCGAAATCCTGTTTTACTTCTCGAACAAAAATTCCATCTCTTTCTCTGACAATCTGCTTATAACCTCTGCAAAGTTGCCTCCAGTCCTATATATAGCAATGGAAGAAGCAGATTCAAGTGGCATGATTCATGGGATCTACACACAAATTAGTCCAAATTCGCAACATTACATATATAAATGTAAAGTCTGGAAGAAAATACCCTCTAAAAGTTATTCCCATCTTCTCTTGCAGTGTCAAAATCCTCTGCTCAATTGTGTTCTGAGTAAAGAATCTCACAATCCTATAACAAAGTATCAGCACTTTACCAGGGGAGGGTAAACGAGAGAATAACATAGCACTACATATTCTTGGACCAGTAAACCCAGCAATTAGCTAGATAGAAGCACAATACCTGACTGGGTTAACCTGCCCTATTTGATGAACCATATCTTGAGCTTGCTTCTCCAGACCATTGTTCCACCAAGGATCCATGAAGAAAACCTAAATACGCTCCCAGTCCATGAAACTATTATTTAGCATTACAATAACAGAAATTCACAGTTGGGAGTATGACACATTACTTACATATGATGCAGCTGTGAGATTAAGAGCAAGCCCTCCATCTTTCAAGCTCATGAGAAGAATCTTGCAATCTGAATCCTCTGAAAATTTTTTCATCGTGACATCTTGTGCAGTAACAGACATGCTTCCTTTCAATTGAACACATTTTACATTATACTGAAAAGCAAAAAAACCAAAACATCCATCATATTACAATATACAACATGCAACTTCGTATGCAAGAGGAAACTACAAGATATTGTATTCCTTACCTTTTGGAGGAAGTACTCAATGAGATCCAAGAATGGTGGGAAATGGCTGAAAACAATTCCTTTGGCAGAATCTTCCATGCGACTGATTTCATCCCTCTAAAAGAATGTAAAATGGTTCAAAATTCAGAACTCAAATAAGATATGCACAGATCAGAAAATACGGATTCATATAACAAAACATTCTTAGCAATGATTACAGAGGAAAGGTATAACCATTTTCGGTCAAGCATTGGCAAGGTCCTGTCAACATTAAAATCCTTCCAAAATCTACAAAAAAAAAAAAATGGAGAGTAAAAAACTAATGGTATTTGACTGACCAAGGCTTCAATTTTGGTGCTTGTCTTTACATCTTCGATTTGTAATCTCTCTATAAGACTTTGTGAGTGGCTAGTCTCATCTCCAGCATTTGAGGCTTTGAGATCAACAATGAAGACTTCATGGCACACTGGGCATATCACTTCTCCCAAAAAGTCTGTATATTCCAGCAAGCATGCCTTGCAGAAAACATGCTTGCATGAGGTAACCTGAAACAGTGGGATCAACTAACGATACTAGAGACGGGAGCTTCACAGATAGAGGAAAAAGTAATTCTGAAACTAAAAATAGGAAAATTCTCAACTCTAAGAGAAATTCTCACTTAATTTGATGAAATCCAATAGACTCACTCAGCTAAAGAGGCCATTAGTGTTACGGTCTTGGAATGAATTCAAGTAAGTACTTTATCCTCAACAAGTAGATACTTTTAGTAAAGAGCTTCTCAAAACAAATGACTAGAAATGTTCAGATTATCGAACAACTTTGAGGTACTTCATGAGACAAATAAAATAAAATGGATAACTGACCACACGATCTTCTGCTGATTCATGGCAAATATGACAACATTCTTGTCTGTCCAGTCTCTGCACAGCACTATCAGAATAATCCACGAGGCAACAGTGACTGACCGCCTGCAGTTTTACACAAGAAATAAGAGAGGTATGGGTAGACATAATATGTACTTTAAGTTATTTATAGATAATATATACATTAAGCTACATAAAATATTCGAAGGAAATAAATGATAAAAAACAGTGTACTAGTAAGAGTAACAAGCAACCAATCACACAAGAATAATTCTTCACCTTTAGCAATCGTTTAATAATACCAAATCTGTGAACATATATAATCTTCTCAAAATAAATTTCATCACATCTGCAAAAGAGAATAAAGAAGCACAGAACTATGAGATTGCTGGATTCCTATTACAGACTAAGAAATTAAAGCATGAAAGCATAATACATGATTGGACCCATTTCAGTGATTAGTTTGTTAAGTATCTGCCCCTTGTACCAAAAAATATAAAATTAATTGGACTCATTTTTCATTGTGCAAGTAAGAAGTAAAATGGAAATGGTGAATAACCTCAATGGGGTAAAATGACAGTTCCATGTCTAACAAAAAGATCGAGAAAAAAAAAAAAGAAAAGGTGCTACATAAGGAACATTCCAACCCTTAAATAAGATGCACATCCATCCAAAATAAGTATCCAATAAATGGTTTACCAATCACCCCAAAGTTCTAATCATTAAGACAACCAACAAACAATTTTCAGAAAGAACAGTCATCATAAGTCATAACCCAAAAAAAAATGAAAGTCAACTTACTCATAAAATTTTTCCCGACATTCATTGGACAAAGATTCATAATAGTTTTCTTCATCCTGATCCAGAGTGACTGGCCTCAACGAAATCTGCAGAAAGAGGTCATTGAGTAATAAGTACAGAGGGATATAAGGCAGATTGAGAATAACTACCATACCATCAACCAACCTTACCTCAACAGGAGGAAGAGAAAGATCTTTCGCTGCCAAGCCCTTCTTTCTACGTCGTAAAAGAGTCTCTTTCAAAATTTTGTGCTTCAGCAATATCATGACTCTCTTTCTATTATCAAAAGCACCATTGTTGTCTTCCAATGGGGTTGCCACATGCTGAACAGAATAAAAATTTTTAAGACGTTAATGAAATAATCCTCAGGATTAATTTTCCCATAAACTAAACAATGAAAAACAAGGTAATAGTTGCCCAACTCACCCTATCCCACCAACAAAAGTGCCTCGCAGAAGCGTGCTTGCAGTGTAAACAATGGTCTGATGAACTGTAGATGAAGTTATGTTCACAAAAAGTAGTTAACAACCAAACACACTTGGTGAATCAAAGGGTCACATAAAGACATTTATGCTTCCATACGAACCTATAAAAGATCTAAATGTAACATCAAATATGATAGAAAAAAGCATATAAAGTACCCTGAGATTTCTAAGAAAATAACGATTTATCACCCATATAAAGAGATATCAATAACCATAAAACAGGCTACACGTAGAAGTTCTTATATAACTGAAAAATTAAAAACGCAATACATGTTTAGGAGCATTTTTTGGATTATTATTCAAAGGTTATTAGCCAAAACCAAGGGAATTGAAATAAAAATAAAGGCAAATAGAAAACAGAAACACTCTTCAGTTTCTAATCAGAAAGCATTAGAATGACACAATGACAACATATACTTAAATGTTAAGTGTACCTAATTCGATCAACCATATCATACACCGACCATATGACAGGCAGAAAAAGTACCAACTAAATTAATTGCTTGGGTGAACAACCTTGCATCTAAGATTTACCTATGATAAAGAATTCTGCAGTTGCAATCTCTGCAGAAAAAATAGGAGTATGGAACTATTTGCAGGAACTGAACCTGTGAAAATGAAAGCTTAAATAAATAAGCATGAAAGGAGAACGTTACCAGAAAATAGATCACTTTTAATGGACTGACATTTAATTATGGTACTCACTATAGAGTAAAGCTCTCTAATACGGTTGTGAAGCGTATCACCACTGAGAACCCATTTATAAGAGGACTCCAAAGACATAAGAGCCCTTGCCGTATCTTTCACAAAATGAGCCTATGCATTGAAAAAAGAGGATGGTGTTGTCAACTATAAACATTTAAGTGCAAACAAGTATAGAAAAATCAAGAGAAAAATAAACACAGCCAAGTTTAATAGCAGCTGTTTTGGTGTTCTTTACCTAAACCAAGATAAAGAACTTGAGGATAATCCTAATACCAGATGCAGGATCCAAGCTAAGGAAAAAAGTCACGAAAAGAGACAATATACCCCATATGTTAGAGACATTCAACTCACCTTATCCAAGATGACTCGTTTCCACTTCACAGAGTAAAGTAATTTTTCTCGATTTTCTTTCACACTAAGCTTTGAAGCTATTCTTCCAACATTTGGCATTGATGATCTTACCATCTCCCTATATTCTGACTCTAAAACAGAATATGTGGTTATGACAAAATCATAATCCGACAGCTCTTCAATTTCAATACTGGCGTTCCTAGTGTAAACAAGAAGTTTTACAGTTCCCCTTAAAGTAGACTTATGAATCTCCCTTACCCACTTATCCACAGCAATCAAAGGACAAATCACTAGTGTACTTTTAACCACATTTTTTGATGAAGTAGGTTGCAGGGAAGATTCATCGTCTCTCTTCACAAGAACAAGAGCAATTGCCTGCAGAGTCTTCCCCATTCCGCTCTCATCCGCAAGTATGCCTCCTTTAATTGCAGACAATTCCTGTCTCAGAGCCCAACCCAACCACTGTTTTTGATATGATAACAACGGAAGAGTTAGCTCCTGTGGAGCTTCAGCACTTTCATCTATGTTTTCATTAACTTCGTCCAAGAATGCATCGGCGTTCAAAGCAGAATCAGAATCAGCAATATAATTCTCATCAATCCACGTTTTCTGCTCTTGAGCACAAAGCTGCCAAAACAAAGGCTCCATTCCGGGCCTAATATCGTCATCATCATCTTCACCAAGCTCAGCCATGTCTCCAAAAGAGATTTTCCTCAGTTTTTGTGGGCTATCAGGCTCGTCAGACTGGAAATCAACGTCCGACTTAACCGAACCTTCCTCTGCTTCAATATTACACAATTTCCATTGATTAGAGCAAAAACCCAAAATCAAAACCCGCTGCTAAAGAAATTTTGCTTGCACAGAGTTTGGAACTAGAAAACACAATCTGAAGTACTATTCCAGGAAATTTTGCCCTAAAGAAATCCAACATTCAATGCTGGTTTATAAAGAGAGTTGGAAATTAAATAGTACCGGAAGAGGCATCGGAAACGTTCGGAGATCCTTGCATATTTCCTCTCAGGATTGACCGCCGACTTTCCTTTCCCGCCGCCGACTTTCCTTTTCTGCTTTCTTGTCCGTTACGAATATGTAGGAAAACTTGGAAGAGAAGCGTAAGGATCGAGCCGTCCAAGGTCGATGGTTTGGGCTTAAATGACCCCAAAGCCCATTATTTTTTCAGCTCAGTTTCTATAGCCATTATTAAAAGGGCAACTTTATATTTGGTCTTCACTAAAAGGGCAATTTAAAATCTATCTAAATATTTCTATTACACCTTTCACATAAAAAATTTTAAAAAGCTTAATGTAAAAAATAAGAAAAAACGTTGAAAATACTCATCACTATACATATATGCAAACTAATAAAAAAAAATCCCTTGATTTGGAAAAACAAATCAATTATGGTCTTTCTATTCATCATCCGTTTTTATTGAATAATTGAAGGGTGATAATATAATAACAATTGTTTTATATTTTTTTATATAATTTTTACATGATATTAAATAAGTGGATGCATTCAATATTAGAAATCCTAAATAAATAAAAAAAACTAATAATTTAAATATCATATAAAATTGTATAAGAAAATAATACAAAAAAATGTTCATAAATCATTTTTCCTAACTGAATATGATAGAGGACATATTAATGATGTTAAAAATTGATAATGTGAGACTAATAATAATGTTAAAATCTTCTTCCATTGCACTAATAGAGGTTTATTTTTTTGTTTTCAGGGACAAATTTACATAAAAATGATCTAGACTAGCTAGGAAAATAAGATACTAGACAATTTAATCATAATCCTTTTAATCCTAAGGATTGGATCTATTGATAAATAAATATCGTCTTATAAATCAAGTTTAGGATTTAAGTTTTAAAGCTAACATTTAGAGAAATTAATTAATATCCTTAAATGCAATATATCCATGTGGCGTACTCTTAAAATTTTTCTTAACAACCTCCCTAAGGTTGTCTCCTTAATAGTAAATATTATAAAAAAAAAAACCTCCCTAAGGTTGTCTGAGTCTCCAATGCGTGGTGTTAGTGCCATACTTACAATTACTAATCTCATACTCTTTCATTTTAATTGATTATTATAATCTTTAATCCATTTAAAAAATAAAAAATAAAAAATAAAACAAAAATACGTAATACAAAGGTATAATGATTAAGTAAGAGATCTTAATTTTAAATTATATAATATATAAGTGGGGTAGATTAAATTAAAGATAAGAAATAATTGTCTTTTATTGTACAACTCAAAATTAAAAAATATATATATATAGTTTTTAATATGAGATAAATGACCTTAATTAATTAGCTTTGAACATTCTAATTTAGTTGATTGACCTCCTTTATGTAAATAAGATAACAAAACAGAGAGGTACATCACTGTTTCAGATTACTCTAACAATTCAGCATTACATACTTAAAAAAGTACCATAAAATGTAAGAAAAACAACCACAGAGTAATTAGAGAGTTCACAATTGATCAGAAGATGAAGCAGCTAGACTGCTAGAGTACTCCAGCCCCGTAAAAACACACTTCATAGATTTCATAGACACCGAAGGTCAGCATCTGAGTCCTACTGTTGTCCACACAAATGGTCACAAATTCAGCACCAAAATACTCAGCCATGTCTAGCCATTCCTCAAGGATAGGAGTACTGAACACAGCTTTATACAGTTTGTTGAGATCGCGAACTGATTCACGAACATTAATTGTCATATTCCGGTGATCACTCTACACATATGAAAATAAGGTCGATTAAACAAAAAAAAAAAAAAAAGAGTAAAAACCTAGAGTGCAAAAAGAAGATCGTCAAATTCAGCTTCACATACTCCCTCAATAATGATTGGTTCTTTGTTTCCTATCCTCAGCCTCACTCTTTTCTTGTCAATATCCATCATTAACAATTTTTCAGCATCTGCAAAATAGTTAATTAAAGAAAACAAAATGAAAGAATAATAAATCAGTGAAAGAAGCTATCTTTAATTCCTTGTTATATTTACCATCATCATTATCATCACCACCATCATCTGCAAAAAAAAAAAAAAGGAAAAAAAGAAAACAAATGATCAAAAGATCATCAGTATTAAAAAACAGTGAAGAACCTAGCTATGTGTGTATATATATATGTTGTACTGAAGTTCAGTAAATAGTCCTTGATTATCACCTTCGTCATCATTCTCCCCTTGAACAGCACTATCATTCTTGTTTCTAAATTGTTTGAGGGATTCCAGAAGTTCCTTTGTAGGCATCTCCACATTAGCATCATAAAACCGTGTCAGATGAGTGGCTGACTGATGTCCAAATTCATACCCGAACCCCACCAATTGCATTGGTAACATTTTATCATCAAAACGTCCAACAATAGAGCAATCAACGTATTCTTTGTCTGGTGTAGACGAAAGAACAGAAGAAAAAAGATATTAATTAACAGAGATAACACATATGAAACACTCTCAGGACAGTTGCACTAAAAATATATATGATAGTTGTAGAGAAAGATATTTACCCATTTTCAGACAGTGGTTCATATTTTGATCTCGAAGGATTTGGATCAAAAGCAGGCTTTCTGGATTCAACCCATCTACCATTCGAAAAACTTCATCTAGACCATGGGGTCCAAGATGAAATGAGTGCGGACCAGTAAAACAACTCATGTTGGAAGTTAAACTCAAACTTAGTTCGGCCATCAGACTCTGGCGGTAGTGAACACGAAACGAGATGGCATTTTCATCTGTCCGTAGCTCGATATTGTCAAAGCCTTGGATCCTGTCCTTAAATTTTTCTAAGACTTGTTTTAGTTCGTAGCCTTTTCCCAGTAGGAGAGAAACAACTGTAGTGTAAGACATGTTGGTGAGTTAGTGGACTGGAAAGTAGTGATGAATAGAAAATAGAGAGAAGAAAACGGATCAAGACACAGCAGAAAAACTTATGTTAGGGTATAGGGGCAAGTGTGGGGGGTTCTGGACAAGTAGTTCTGCCCCTTTTTATAATCCCAAGGGGCGTATGAAGAATTTCTCAAGTAAAATTAAGTATGCTTTGTTAAAGAGAACGACCGGATGAGTGCTTTAGTTTGGTTACTGCAGTAAAGGCTTTTGTTCTGTGCAGGGGTTAAATGAGGTGCTACTCTCTTGTGTTAGTTACGATGATAACTCAAGGCCTAGCTAGCAGTGCCTCCTTTCATCAATCTCGTGCCCTGTATCCATATGCTTTTTCCATCTGCACGTCCATTTGCTATTCTAAATTTGGTAAACGTGATTAAATCAGGAATTTATTCTACATGAAGTCAGCTTATTCCTTGTTATATCACCATGATGTTGATGGAAATTCATGTATGCACAAAAGGATTTGGATCGAATATCTTTGTTCCATTAATCAAAAGTAAAGCAACTTCTCATGAAAATTATTAATTAACTTAATTTAACTGCAAGAAAAATTTGAAAGATGTAAGTCTACTAAATATACAGTTCATGTCGGGAGATTAATGCTTGAATGTAATATGGATGAATTGCTTTCCCCAATGAGACCATATATAATTTTTGAAAAATGATTGATACACTATTTGATTTAATATACTTGTTAACATACATTGATTTAGCAATTAAAATAAAAAATTTTAGGTTTTTTTTTATTTTACTTTAAATTTAAAAATAATAATTTTTTAATGATTATGTTATAAAAATAAATTAAATTAAAGAGTTTATAAATAATTGTCCATAACTTTTTGTTGTAACAACAACTGAATAGATAATTAATTCAAGAACTTTGATTGTTGAAAGAACTTGGACTTTATGGTTTGGTGGTAACGAACTGGCAAAAGCTAGAGACAATTGTAAGGGTAAGTCCAGAGCTTCCTGCTAGAATAGCTACATGGCAGTTACGATGGGCATCCTTGTATCTAGACATATCCCAATCTCCCGGTCCCGAAATAACTGCTGGGAGATACATATCAAATCCCGGATATTTTGCTTAGCTCAATCTCCCAGTCTCGAACTAACTGCCTGGAGATACACATCGGATTCCGGATATCTTGCTTGGCATCTTGATTGGCGTACCGCGTGGATTCTGCATCAAAACATATAAATACCTCTTAAGGGCCACGCCAAAAGGTGATGGAAAAACCAACCTTAAACTTCTTGTTCCTTCGCTTTACAGGTAGCCCTGATTATTACTGACTTAAGCATCGGAGTGTCTACCCCGAGATCCATCTCGGGGCTTTGCAGGTCAATCCGGAGTGCAGATACGGACTGAAGAAGGGCTTCCGGTTTGATGCAGTTACATTTTGGCGCCGTCTGTGGGAAACTGAACTAAAGGCTTCTTTGTTGCTCTTATCATGGTTAAAACTAGGTCAGCCCGAGGGGGAAACTCGTCTCAGCCTCTTGGACGAGGTCAGGTCCCCAGCAACCTTCCACCTCATCCTCCACCCCCAATCCCAAATACATTCCCTCCTGTTGATCATGCAGAAGGAGAAGATGAAAATCAACCACACAATTCGGTTAGCCACTCAGCCTCTACTGCTAACCAAGACGTAGTTGCAACTCAGCTCGCTGCCATGCAATAGCAGTTTGGTGTCTTTCAGCAAGTGCTGGCTCAGCTGTTAGCCCGGAACAATCCTGGTGATCCACTCATCAATCTACTTAATCCTGCCCCACCACAACCCCCGGCCCCACCACAAAATCCTGGACCAGTTCAAGATGCTCCCGCTGTTAGTGAATCTCAGGGCCAATCTCACATCGCGCCGGTTATGCAACCCCCTCGTGATGATGTCGCTCGGCGTTTAGACAGCTTAGAAAAGCTAGTGGTCGAACAGCGAGGTATTCCACCTCCACACCCTGCTGCTGACTCCGTACCTCACCCTCTCAACACCAATATTATATTGGAACCCTACCCCGTTGGCTTCAGAATACCACAGCTTGAAACTTATGATGGGACGAAGGACCCCGATGATCATCTACATGCTTTCTACTCTTGCATGCAGGCCCAGAACGCTTCTGATGCATTGATGTGCAAAATCTTCCCCTTTACTCTCCTAGGTAACGCTCGAACCTGGTACTACAGTCTGCCTCCGAGATCAATCAACTCATACACAGAACTGGCATCCGCTTTTGCCACAAAGTTTTCCAGTAGAAGGTTGATCAGGAAAACCACTTCCGAGCTGATGCGGGTTAAGCAAAGGGGCGGAGAGTCTTTGAAGAATTTTATGAGCAGATTCAATGATGCAGTGCTAGAGGTTAACTCTTTCGACCAAGCAGTGGGCATTACAGCTGTGATCTTGGGTCTCGGCCATGAAAGATTCAGAGAAAGTCTGCTCAAACATCTCGCCACCACCTTCAGTGAGGTAAATGATAGATCATTGAAATTCATAACTGCTGAGGAATATGCCCTGTCGCAGAACGTCACCCCTGCCAAGAATCAACACCCAGACTGGCGAGAGGAGAATCCGAACAGGAAACGGATGAAGACATCGCAGAACCGAGGATCGATGTCGACCCTGAGATTCGGAAGGCCGAACCCAGCACCTCCGCAACAACCTGTAGGTAAACCTCCAGTTAATTGGACTCCTTTTAATTTACCAAGGTCACAAATCTTCATGCAGATTAAGAATAAAATGGACTTACGACGTCCGGGTCCAATGAGAACTGCTGCTGCTACCAGAGACCATACACGGTATTGTGACTTTCATCAAGATCACGGTCATACAACATAGCAATGCAATAGTCTGAGGTCCGAACTGGAAAGCCTGGCGCAGAAAGGGATGCTGAATGAGTACATCCAAAGAGTGGAACAGCCTCGATTCGTCAGGGAACAAGGGACACAGCATCAAGGAATCCGCAACCCCCCAAACAGGCAAGGTGTGGGATATCAGCAGGCCCCACCACCACTCCCATCACCAGCTAGAGTCACACATATGATTACGGGAGGTCTGGAAGCAGGTGGATTGAGCTCTAAGCAGAGAAAGTTGTACGTTAGAGAGGTTAAGCACCAGAACCGGAGTCAGAAGCGCAAATTTGACGAGGCTGAGTGGAAGAATCAACCCATCACCTTCACATCTGCTGATCTCTAAACAGTTGTCACACCTCACAATGATCCTCTAGTTACTTCCGTCACGATCAACAATTGTGAAGTGCAGCGAGTCCTTGTTGACACCGGGAGTGCACCAGACATCATGTACTTCCATTGTTTTGAAAGTCTTGGAATAGATCCGGCTCTGTTGCAGCGGTATGATGGTCCCATTTACGGATTTAACAACCAACCAGTTCCAGTTGAAGGAGTCCTCACTATGAATGTTGCATTTGGCAGAGGCCGAAGTTATGTGACCCCGTCAGTCAGGTTTTTGGTAGTCAAGATGGCATCCTCATTCAATGTCGTCATTGGTCGACCCACACTGACTGAAATCCGAGCTGTGGTTTCCCA